AAATCACCAATCACTGGGCATGTCAATCAATTTAAAGAAATATTTTATTAACATACATTAATAATCATGAAAAATATTTTTAATTGAACTCGAGTGGACTCGGGAATAATTCCGAGTCCTAAAAAAAAAAATGTTCGAGTACGAGTCAATTCCGAGTCCAAATGGACACGAATCCATGACAAGACCAAGACCATTAAAATATGGTCTCGTGACCGAGTCCGAGACGAGTCCGAGTCTCGAGTACTACAACACTGCTGCACTGAAACTCTCATTTGGACCTTGAACCATTGGTTCCCATTGAAGAAAATCCTGGAATGTTTTCATCAAAAACCTTAATTTCTTTCCGACTGAAGAAAGAAAGACGTGGACATCTTGGATGACCTGGGGGTGAGTAAATTATCAGCAATTTTTTTTTTAAAAGTGAACTACTCCTTTAAGAACATTAAAAATACCAGCTGGAATCACATGCAAATTATATTTCTGATCATATTTCTACATTTAAAACCATAAACCATATGTAATAGAGGTGAAAAGGGAAAATTAGAGAATAAAACTACACTTAAGTACACTTACATGGTTCTAAATCAGTGTTAGCCCTAAAATTACCCTGTTATTTTTGTATTAACATTATTTATACTATTATAGTATTGTTTTAATGTTTTGAATTGTTTTTTATTTTTATATTATCAACTTGTTATTTTAATTTTTGTTTTTTGGGGGGTCTATTTAGCTGTCATTTATTTTTATTTCGGTTTTAGTTTAAGCTTAGTACTTCAACTTAGTTGACAGGGCAACGTTTCTTATTTTTGAAAAAAAAAAAAAAAAAAAAAAAATGAGGGTCCATGTGATCTTTATTGTTCCAGTTTAGTCTAAAAGGCTTTTCTGTTCAGCCATCTCAGTGAGAAAGGAGTGTTACATTTCCATCTCACATGTGAAATGAAAAGGGTTGAGAGAAGTCAAAGAAAGAAAGACTGAGAGACCATGGTATTCATGGTTTAAAAAAAAAGTCTTGCATGGTTCACACATCCCACAATGTAATTAACAGGCATACTTGGATATATATAGTATATATATAATATAGTATACTATACATAATATATGTATACTATATATTAGTATAGTATATATAATATATATACTATATATAATATAGTATCGCATTAAACTGATGTCTGCATCCATAGAACAATGCTACTGGTTTACCACAATCTACTGTAAGCAGAAGATGGATTGATAAGGCACTGATAAACTGCCATTTCATTCATAAACAACTACTGAACGTAACTGATGGAGACAGGAGAAATAAAACATGATCAAGACCACTTATCTGCATCTAGTAACTGACTGCAACAATGTAAAAGACAAAAAGTATGACCTGAGCGGATAAAAGATTTCCAATCGGCTTCAGAAAGCAGAACTTCACGCCTGAGGATACTAGACAGACAAACTCCTATGTATCTATCTCCAAACTCAGCAATGAGGAGCAACAGGAAAAACCATATGACTTGACAGATGAAAAGAATTCAGACAAAAACTGGTTCAGAGTGAAACTAGATGTTTTCCTTTTTCGGTGCGTAAAAAAGACAGAAACAAAAATGTCATTCAGACTTTTTCATCACCTCAGGCCCAATTTCATTTAAGCACCAAACCTGTTTTTATTTTTTTATTTGTTCATCAGTAACTCATTTAAAGCAAAAGTCCCATATCAAATCAGGTTCCATTTAATTAGGATGCCACATTAGAAGGCAGCTGCTTATGAGGGCAGAAGATAGCAAAGGGCAGACTAGAGTTATTGTCCGACTGTATCTGCCTCATCCAAAAATAGAAAACAAACAAAGTGGAAATACTAGATACAGAAGAAACAGACAAGAATGTTCTTTTAAGCCAAAGAGATTTGTAAAATAATAGAAAGGCAACAAAATGAGGTTTCTTTGCTCTAAGCGTCGCCCTGTCTCTCAGTATCTGAAACAATGAGCGCTTTGTGCAGGGGTGAGTCAGCGCTCAGGCTACACCCAGAACAGGTGAGACGTCCAAGTCTTTATCTGCTTCAGGACAACAGCATGCTTTTCTGCAACATCATATGACCATGGTGGTGAATCTAAATGAATGCATTTCACCTACTTCACCGCTTTACACATACAGACAATATATATATATATATATATATATATACAATCTTTGTATACACAAAATTTTATTTTGGATGCGATTAATCGTGATTAATCACATCCAAAATAAAATTTTGTGTTCATATAATGTGGGTGCACTGTGTATAATTATTTTGTGTATATATAGTATATATAAATACAAACACATGCATGTATATTTAAGAAAAAAATATTATTTATTTATAAAAATATTTATATGAAATATAAATTATATATAAATCTATAAACAGTATATACATGAAAATATTTCTTAAATATATACAATCATGTGTGTGTATTTATATATATAAAATAATTATACACAGTGCACCCACATATATTATGTAAACACAAACTTTTATTTTGGATGCGATTAATCGCGATTAATCGTTTGACAGCCCTAATATATATATATATATATATATATATCAATTATAATAATCAAAGAAAGATTTTTGCAAATATATATATATATATATATATTTGCAAAAATCTTTCTTTGATTGTTTAAAATAATTGAAAGGTGGGTGGGCAAATCACATTACAAAATATTGGCACCGCTAGAATTTTTAAAAATATCTCTGTATATTCCCATTAATATATATATATATATGTATATATATATATATATATATATATATATATATATATATATATATATATTTATTTATTTATTTTTTTTTTTTTTTGCATACCAGGGTGATAAGGAACAAGAAATTTTCTAGCTATGACTTCTTGATTGATTAACTATGAGAGAACACAATGGCCAAATTCCATCAATCATTCATCAGAATTAGTAAAACCAACAATATTCTGATGTACAATAAAAGATTGTTGAGCTTCACAAAATAGAAAGTGTCTGTAATTAAAAAGCTTTGAAAATCCCCATTTCCACCATAAGGGCAATAATTCAAATCAACTAAAGATGTTGTGAATCTGCCTGGAAAAAGACAAGTGTCAGTATTGTCTTAAACCACGGTGAGGAGGAACGTCTGAGTGGCCCAAGACTCTCCAAGGATCACAGATAGAGAATTACAGAGATCAGTTGAGTCATGAGGGACAGAAAGACAAAAAAACAAATTCAAACAACCCCTACAGTAAGTTGTTGGGGCTTATCGAAAACTCCAGCATAATCAGTGGTCAGTCAGACACAACTGGAACTTCAAAAGGGACCTGGTTCTATGGTCAGACTAATCTAAAAAAAGAAGCCCATGCCCACGGTTAAATATAATGCTGGATCTTTAATGTTGTGGGCCTATTTTCTTTTTCTTTGCTTGAGGTCCTGGACATCTTGTTCAGATACATGGTATCATGAGCCGCGTTTCCACTGCCGGGCCAGGGCCGGGCCGTGCTAGTGCGTGCCAGGGCCAGTCGCGTTTCCACTGTCACTTCCGGGGCTTGATCGGGGCTTCCTCAGGGCCAACGGCCAGGATTTCTGGCCCGTCGAATACCTTGGGCCAGAGGGGGCCAGCTCGGGCTAGAGGCGTGCTCAAGGTAAAAGGCGGAGTTTATCGGTGTTATGGAACATTATGATCTGAAGCAAGATGCACATAGGGGTGTCCATGTTTAACCGATTAACCGTTTAAAATTGCATAACATTTTAATTTGAACTGTAGGCCTATGCCAAATGCTGCGCAAAAATATATAGGCTATATATAGGCTACATATCGACGAATTTTCAGATATTTGTTTGATTTTTTGCCCCTTAAACATTTAAAATATTTGACTAATTAATATGAAAAAAATATATATTTTACTGGTTTTCTGAGGCCAAATTAGAACCTGGAAATGATATTTTCCCTGCAGTGCTAAATGAGAAGAGCCGTAACACCAGCCTACAGAAAGGGGATTTATAGGTGATTTATAGACTATAATAAATGTGTCTGATAATAAAATAATATAAAATAACGAGGAATTAATGTTTATTAATAAACTATTGTTTTCTAAATGATTTTCGGCTAAAAACATATCTCCATCTCCGGATGCACATTTAGAGAGAAATTAATTAGCTACATAATTACAGAAGATATTGGCTTTCGATTCGAATTTGTTCGTTTTAAATTGGACATTTAAAGCTTCAAGACTTCAAGATCTACAAGACTAAAGCTTTAAATGTCCAATTTAAAACGAACAAATTCGAATGCGGTGGCTGTTTCAGGTCTCGCGCTTCAGTTCGCGGAGATCATGAAGCGCGCCTTGATTAATTGTTAAAGCACAACGTTTTCTTGTTATTGTGAGTTTACGCAAATAAATGTATTTGCGAATAATGTATTATTATTTTCTGTATGACCAGAAATGAAAGAGTATTTTAAGTTGTTTCCACTGAAAGAAATGCAATGAAACTGCAAGTGTTCACATGGGCGTCTCGCAGCCATCAGCACGCGTGCTCCACACACACTGGATATGCTATCGAATTAATTTTGAGCCAATAAAAATGAACGTAACTTATCAAGAAACGAATGAAAATATAAATTGAAACTGAATAAAATATCTTTGAAACTGAAAAAGAATGAACCGCAAGCAATTTTTTTGACTTTGTTTTTAATACACTACATGTTTTGCTAACTATTCCTCATATTTCGTTTACTGATCTACACTTACAAATGCGCTTCCAGAGTTTTCATTTACGCTTCTGAAGTTTTCGTTTACACTCCCTGAGTTTGCGTTCGCTGTTCTGACACAAATCTCTCGTGGGGGCGGGGCTAATAGAAGTGTATTCTCATTGGCTACTGAGTTTTTGATTGACAGCTTCTTGACCTGGAAGTGAAGACGTCAGTGTCAGTGAGTGTTGTGTTTACACGTTTGGATGTGAGCGTCTGTAAGCGTAGCTTTCTATTTCATTTAGGTGATATTAAGTTTATTTCTTTATTTATTTACTGCTACACTATATATTGTTGATATGATTTCTTATAGAAGGAATAGTACAGACAAATGATTTAATTTGTCATCGTCGATATCAGAATACTGGATAGCATAGGCTACTCGTGGTAAGTCTGATTGTTTTTATTTTTTTTATTAATTAATACTAAACTAATACTAATTATAATACAGTTCTTGCTTTTTCAGGTGGAGAGGCATATTAGAGCTCAGTGAGAGCCCATAACATTATACAGCAGTGTTGTCTTGATTTAATTGGTAAGTTGTTAGCCCAATCATTACATGTCTTGTTTATCTAACGTTACATACGGTTACAGTCTTCGATTAGATCATATTTGCTTCAATTAGATCATATTTCCCCTCTGCCACCCCAAACAACATTGTGCTAGAGTACTGTACAGTATCTGTACTGTAGCCTACAGTACAAAATGTACTGTATCAGACAATGACCGATGCCATTGGATCAGAGCCCTGTCAATCACTGCCCGGTTCAACTTTGGCAATGTAAAGCCAATTGCTGATTAATTTGTGATGCAGAGTTTTTAAAAGAAGAGAGAGAGTACTTGACCATTTTCCACGTCTCTATTCATAATATGTAAACACTCATTTGTTTTGAAGTATAACCCTGGGCGCAATATTTATTCTGCAAAAGGCAACAAAATGCTTTTTCTGTATGCATATTTTAGTAATAATTATGTTAAAAAAAACATAGACGCTACACAGCCATGGATAAATGTTTATTGGGCTACAGAGCCATCTACTGGTTATACAATAGTATTACCGATGATAAATGGTGTGTGAGTCAGGTAAATATTTGGTACTGTAAAATCCATTAAAACATTTATATAATTTGTTTGAAATAATTATTTTAAGTCTGCAAATGGTTATTGCATGTGGGAGTTCAAAGCAGTTTGTATTGTTAGATTATAATATATTTCCTTTCTCATTTTCCAGGGATTTGAGCAACTTTTCCACAAACAAAATTCTGATGCTGACACAGAGGATGGAGTGATAATACCAGAGATCAGCTGTCTCCATCAGACAATAATGTTACTTTGTTCAGACATATCACCTTTCAATGACTGGGATCCTTATCTTCAGACACCTGTTGTATTTTATTTTAATATTATAAAATAGCAAATATTTTAATTTCTTTGGAGCTCTAGATTAAAACAAACACAGTTCACAAGAGGTTGCAGTTTATTCTTATTAGTCTCTGCTGATCATGGATTAGCATACCAACAGCATATGAATGGAATAGTTCATCCAAAAATAAAATTCTCACTTATTTTACTCACCCCCATGCTGTCCCAGATGCATTTTACTTTCTTTCTACAGATAAATACGAATTAAGATTTTAAGGAAAGTAATCCATCTCTGCAAGCCCTAAAGATGCTTTAAAAACCACACACAGTGAACGTGATGTCCATGTGACCTCAGTGGATGAATCAATACTGAAGTGAAACAATAGAATAAAAAAAAAATAAATACTAATAATGTAAACTGTTTTAACTATTAAAAATCATTTCCGACCAACTGCCATACATGGGTACAATCCACTTGTGTTATGTGGACTCACAGAGATGTATTATTTCATTAAAAATCTTTGTGATTATACATTTTATTATCTATATTATGAGAATACTGTGCATTACATGTATAGTATGCAGTTAATGTTTTGTGGATTCTGGTCTTTCCTGTCATAACTGCATCCAAGACTTTTACTTTGGTACTTGTGTATATGCTGTAGTGACAATAAAGAAAGAATAAATTTATTAGATTTTTTATTTAAATTCATTTAACTGATTTTATAAGTCATAATTGAACCTGTTGATGATTGTTCAAATATATTTACCATTTTAAATGTTAGAAAATAATATTAACAAAATGAAATAAATAAAATTATCAGCATGATTAAAAAAATACCAACAAAAATATTCTTTGTGTGAAATATGTAATGAAATGCCCTTTCTGTATCATCTGACAGCAACCCAAGATTGTAATTTTCATATAGTTTAAATTCCTCTTATTTAAGTGATCATACATGATCATTTGATGGTGTAAATGCATATGGTAACAATGAGAAATTTGATGGCCATGGTTGCCAACCTTGATTACCTGGTTGAAGTGAAACTTTCTTGACTGCTGAATATATCACACACGTATACTAGTAGGCTATTCTCTTTATATTGTAATAGCACAACCTATTCAGAGCCTAACATGCAAACGAATCATCAAGAATAAACAAATATTCTCCTAAAACATTGGACAAAATATTTTAAGTAGTCATATACAGTGGGCCTACTTTGATGTACAATTACACCTGAATAGACTGATCTCTTGTGAACCTAAAAGCTTCTGTTGACAAAGTAATCGCAGCAGAAGGTAAATACAGATAAAATTAAAAAACAAACATAACTTAATATTACTAAAATTAAATAGAAAGCTGCGCTTACAGACGCTCACATCCACACGTGTAAACACAACTCTGACGTCTTCACTTCCAGGTCAAGAAGCTGTCAATCAAAAGCTCAGTAGCCAATGAAAATACACTGCTTCTAGCCCCGCCCCCACGAGAGATTTGTGTCAGAACAGCGAACGCAAACTCAGGGAGTGTAAACGAAAACTTCAGAAGCGTAAATGAAAACTCTGGAAGCGCATTTGTAAGTGTAGATCAGTAAACGAAATATGAGGAATAGTTAGCAAAACATGTAGTGTATTAAAAACAAAGTCAAAAAAATTGCTTGCGGTTCATTCTTTTTCAGTTTCAAAGATATTTTATTCAGTTTCAATTTATATTTTCATTCGTTTCTTGAAAATTTACGTTCATTTATATTGGCTCAAAATTAATTCCATAATATGCGCTGATATGCGTCAAAAATATTGTGTTTATTTGTGTTCTGTTCCTTTTTTGGATAAAGGCGTCTTCTACATATGCAGCCTATAAAATGTTACAATAATGATGATGATGGTTATTATTATTATTATTTACAGACACGGAGTTTTTGTGAAATGGACGTTTTGCTTATTTTCAATTCAGTTTGAAGGGTGATGGAAATGCGGCTTTAACTGCTCCGTACTTGCTGCGTTTTATTTCTATAAATTAATTTCGTTTCAAATGGGGTCCAATCAGTTATTAAAGGTGTTAAAAAATTAACTCTGTATCTCGAGGTTGCGGCGCGCACACTATGCACCGAGTATTAACCGATGGGCCTCGGTTAACGGTTAATGAATAACTTGAAAACGTGCCCGCAGCCTGTTATATCGCGCAAAAAATCGCTGCTTGAAATGGAGAATCGCCTGTACTGGTCTCGTGACACTTTTATTGCAGCCACTACGGCAGGTGAGTTAATATACATGCTATCTTCCTAATTTAAAAAATAAATTAATTCATAATACCCGCTGAAATGGGTTGGGTTTTATGACGTTTGATCCAGAAAGGCGTGTTAGGGGTGGGGTCTGGGGCAGCGCTGTGGGGCTACTGGCCCGGCAGTGGAAACGCAAGCCCGGTGCTTGAGGCCCGAGGCCACTAGCTCGGCTCGGCTCGCTGTTAGCTCTGGCCCAGCCCTAGCCCGGCAGTGGAAACGCGGCTATGGATTCTATCAAATACCAACAGATAAAAAATCAAAACCTGACCGTTCTGCAATAAACCTTATAACGGGCCGTGGTTGAACCTTCCATCAGGAGAACGATCCAATACAAACAAATCAAAAACATTGTGTCACTGAACACAAAATGAAGCTTCTGCCATGGCCACCCCAGTCCCCTGACCCGAACCCTATATGAGTGGGGTGAACTGAAGAGAAGAAGCACCAACGTGAACTTGTGAATCTGAAGCATCTGGAGAGATTCTGTATGGAGGAATAGTGTCTGATCTCTTGTCAGGTGTTCTCCAAACTCATCAGGCATTATAGGAGAAAACTCAGAGCTGCTATCTTGAGAGTATTTAATAAAACGGTGGCAATAATTATGGCCAACGTGTTTTGACAAAAAAAAAAAAACAAAAAAAAACATTTATTTTATAGTGTGATTTACTTCAATGAAAGGTTTGATTTTGCAAATTTAAACAATGCAGATTTATTTTTACAGGATCATATTTATATATATATAAACATTAATCCTTATTTTCCACCAAAGGTGCTTGTTTACATGTCCTGTATTTATTGTCATAGAATAGACAGAATGCTGTTCTTTTAAACTTTCTATCTATTAAATAATTCTTTTTTTAAACAGAAAAAAAGATTAACAGTAATGTCTTTACTGTAATTTCTTTATCACTTTTAATCATCCTGAGTTCATCCTGAATTCAAAAAATGTACTCACCCTAAACTTACGTTTGAAAATTAAACTAAAATTTAAATTTAAAATAAAAAAAAAATTAATAAACCACACATGCACGCACACACCAGTTATAGAGAGCAGGTTATGCATTATTACTTGGAGTTTGATACCCTGGGAGGCATAACAATCATCTCCAGATGTTACCTGAGCAACACCATCTGAATAACATGAAAGTTCTTGCCTGTCTCAACATCTCCGGGTTCTCAACTTTTCATTTTCTCTGCATTACCTTAAAAGGTAGAGAATTTTGCTGGAGGAAAATAGACATGAAACATTAAACCTGTGATAAATAAAGAAATCAAAAGATGATGGAATGAGAACATTTGGTTTGAGTTTGGCCCAAGAGGGATTAAAGACATATTCTGATGCCCCCTTTTCCACTCATTTTCTGCTCCTCTTTCTTTCTTAGATAAAATGTCTCAAGGCCTTGCTGAAAACCTATATGAACAGAAAGTGTAAGCAAAAGACACTATCACTCCTACAGATCCCGTGCTATGATACATTTTTGATTTCTTGCAGAGAGCTGCATTGCTCTTTATGGGTCTGTTTCAAATTAACGGTCAACTGTAAACTGTGGTCAGTCACGCTGCACAATAATCTGCTTTCTGTTTTAACAGACTGGTATGCGGTTGAGTACGTGTGAGCTCAGATGTGTGTGCGTGGGTAGTACGGACACACACACTTTCGAACTGTATCTGTACACTCAAAAACGCTGGGTTTTTTCAACCTACAGTATGTCTGAGTCAAATATGGACAAACCCAACTGTTGGTTTATTTTTTCTTTATTAAATTGCAGTTAAAATAAATTAGCAATTAAATGAACTGATCCACAGAAACTCCTGCCAGCCAGAGTGCCTATGATAGCCACCAGAGGGCACTCCGCCCTAGTCCTTCGCCATTCCATCATGAACTACATTTCCCATAAACATTTGCCTTGACTCATTATTGTGTGATTACATCCAGCTGTGAGTCATTAGCTTGTTATGTTTGTGTATAAGCCCTGTGTTTCCTCTCAGTCTTCCTCTCATGAAGTCTTTTTGAATCCGTCGAGCGCCATCATAACTCAATCAAGCTTTATTTCTATAGCACATTAAATTAACTAATGTTACTAATGTAACTAATTAAATAACTATGCCAAACCTATTGGCGGCAGTGTAGGGGTTAAGGATAAAGCCATGCAAGCCAATCAGAATCCTCAGAATCGACAATAGAGAACCTAAAACGCCGTTTCTCCCAGTTCACACGACAACACTTAACCGGTGTTTTCAGAAATCTCCACTTTGGCTAGCCTGACTTCGTCATACTCGTATTCTAGTGAGAATATGAGTCTGAAACGGCTTCATAGGGCTTTGATTATGAGGCGTGTCTTAACCAAACCAGAAAAAAAACAACAACTCTGCACTCAATTGGATAGTTGGTTGACCTACAACCAATCAGAGAAACGCAGTAACGCAACTACTTTGCATTTCACAGTTTTCAACTATAGAACTTACTTATTTTAGAAGTAAAATAACGAGTGTTGCTTCTTTTACTTGATCCTCCATGAGTGCGACCAAAGGAGAAACCACAACGACCACAGGCTTTTCATTACGTCCCATCTTCTTAGCGACCATCGGTGCCAGCTGATAAGTTACACTTTTGCCAATCATGTAGGAAGGACGCCAGAAATATCTTTCCGATCGACAAATGCCTTGATTGCAGTTTTCTGTTTGTCTATTAAAATTAATGCGCTGTCGATTCATTTTAAAAACAGACGTGACAGCGCAATCTATACATCTCAGTTCTCCAGCTGCAGTCATCTCTGAGGGAAATCAGTTAAGCGCTCCTTGATAACGTGATGATTAAGTCCTTGCAGATCATCTGTCCATCATCGTATAAAGCCCGCCCTGGCAATTTGATTGGCGCGAACGTTTTTTGTCTGATCATAATTACTCCTCAATGGATCGAATCCAGACCAA